CTTTCGGTATGGGTAGCAACTCACAAATTCTTACCATTGGACCAATAAATACCATCAAGATAAGTGGAGAAAAGTTTGAAGTTGACCAAGACTTAATTTTGCTCCAATCAACCATCAACACTTATGGAAGCAGCAGTCAAGAAATCAAATGACATATTGCACTAGGCAAATCTGCTGTACAAGACTTCTTTAAAGTGTTCAGGAGCAAAGATGTTAGTTTGAGGACTAAGGTGCTCCTGACCCAAATCACAGTGTTTACAATAACCTCATATGCATGTGAAAAGTTGGATAATGAATCAGGAAAACCATAAAATAACTGATGTATTTGAATTATGGTGTTGGAGGAGAATATTAAAAGTATATTTTATTCTTATTTAAAAGAATAAAAATATTATTTTAAAAGAATATTACAAGTTACGGTGTTGGAGGAGAATATTAAAAGTACCAAGTCTTCATGGACCTCCAGAAGAACAAACCAATCTGTGTTGGAAGAATACTCCTTGGAAGGAAGCCAGGATTGCCAGTTCTTTGGACATATTATCAGGAGGGACAGTCCTGGGAGAAAGATGTCATGCTTGGTAAAGTTGAGGGTCAGTTAAGAAGAGGAACACCCCCATCGAGATGGACTGGCACAGTGGCAGCAGCAATGGGCTCAAATATAACAATTGTGGGAATGACACAGGACTGGGCAGTGTTTCGTTCTGTCGTGCATAGAGTCGCTATGAGTCAGAGCCGTCTCCACAACCTTTATGGAAGAAAGTCACACGTCTTTCTTCCATAGAGCAGTTGGGTTGATTCGAACTGCAGACTTTTAGGCTAGTGTTATTGCTGTCAAGTGCCAACAAGTTGGTTCTGACTCATAGTGATCCTCTATAGCGTTTCCAAGCAGTAGCACGTGGGTTTGAACCACCAACCTTCCAGTGCTTACCTTATAGAACAATTCACTTTATTGTTGTTAAGTACCATTGAGTTGGTTCTGACTCATAGGGACCCTGTAAAGAGTTTTCAAGAAGTGGGTGGTGAGTTTGAACTGCCAACCTTGCAATTCAAACCGACCTGAGGTGCCACACCAGGACTCCATAGAACCTCAATTGTTGTTGTTGTTATGTGCCATCGAGTCGGTTCCGACCCATAGCGACCCCCATAGCGACCCTGTACAGGGTTTCCGAGGGTGTAAATCTTTACGGGAGTAGAAAGCCTCATCTTTCTCCCGCGGAGCAGCTGGTAGTTTCGAACCGCTGACCTTAAGGTTCGCAGCCTGATTCGTAACCACTACGCTACCAGAGCTCCTTGTTGTTGTTGTTAAGTGCTGTTAAATCAGTTCCGACTCATAGCAATCCTGTACAGGGTTTCCGAGGAGCAGCTGGTGAGCTTGAACCGCAGACCTTGCAGTTCAAACTGACTGCAGTACAGAGCATTAACCCACAGCGCCACACCAGGACTCAAATGTTGTGTTGTTGTTGTTAAGTGCCATCGAGTCGGTTCCGACCCATAGCGACCCTGTACAGGGTTTCCGAGGGTGTAAATCCTTACGGGAGTAGAAAGCCTCATCTGTCTCCCGCGGAGCGGCTGGTAGTTTCGAACCGCTGACCTTAAGGTTCGCAGCCCGATTCGTAACCACTACGCTACCAGAGGTAGTGCCACTGAAAATCCTATGGAGCACAATTCTTTTCCTTACACACAGGGGTCACTATGAATCGAAATTGACTTCCCAGCAATGTGTTTGGTTTGGTAAATATATATTATTTCCTTTTCCACAGCTAACCCTGCAGACTGCTAAGGCAGTCTTGAAAATCAGCTGTTACCATGCCAACAGCTGAAGTGAAAAGCCCTACAGTTACTCCCTCCCCTGCTTATTTCAACTATGTAATGAATTTCAGAGATGAATTACAGCCAATTAAAATATTTTCTCCAGGTTACATAGTGATTGATTTTCCCTCCTTTATTTATTTCTGCCGATATTCTAAATATAAGGATAAATTAGTGTCGAGCTATACTCAAGTATTCATTCATTCATTTAGCCCAAAGAACTCCACTGGGATCCAGAAGTCCATAAAGCTGTACCCCCTTCCTTCTACCATAAGCTGGGTATCCTTGGGCAAAAAGCTATGCCAGGTAATAAACCCAATGCTTAGACAATTAAAAAGTGTCAAAGACCCAAGGCAAAATTTGGAAAGATAGATGTTATAACTTTTTCAATTAAATATATTTAATTTAGATGATTGCCTGTTATGAAATTAATATCCTTTCATTTATGAAATGGTATTGGTAGATGATAAACCATCTTCTGTTGCTGAGTAGATTCTAACTCATAGCAAACCTTCCTCACTGAGGAAGACAGCCACAACTTTTTTCCTTGGAGTAGCTGGTGAGTTCAAGCCAACCTTTCAGTTGTTGTTGTTAAGTGCCATCAAGTCAGTTCCGACCCTGTATAGGATTTACAAGGAGCAGCTGCTGAACTTGAACTACAAACATTGCATTTCAAACTGACTTTGCAGTCCAGAGTATTAACCCACAGCGCCACACCAGGATCTGGTTAGCAGCCACTATTGTGGCGCTGTGGGTTAATGCGTTGGACTACAAAGTCAGTTTGAACCACAAGGTCAGCAGTCGGTGGTTCAAGCTCACTAGCTGCTCCTTGGAAACCCTATCCAGGGTCACTATGGGTTGGAACAAACTCGACGGCACTTAACAACAACAACCACGCTCCCTGTGGTAGACAATAGCTGTTGTATTTAGAATGAGCTTGCTGGTAAAATAAAAAAATTGGCAAACATATCCCCTCATATATTTTTAGGAAACAAAGCACTGCAGGATGATATTTTATTGTAAAAGTAGTATGTCAAACCAGAAAAACCAAATCCATTGCCACTGAGTTGCTTCAGACCCTATAAGACTCATAGGAACCACATAAGACAGACTAGAACTGCCCCATAGGGTTTTCAAGGCTGTCATCTTTACAGCAGCGGTGTCCTTTTTCTCTGGAGTGTACGTTTGGTTAGCAGCCAAGCACTGAACCACTGTAACACCACAGCTCTTACTATTTGTTGTTGTTGAGTACTGTCGAGTTGGTTCCAACTCATAGTGACCCTGTTTAGGGTTTTACGAGGAGCGTGGCTGGTGGGTTTGAACCACCGACGTTGTGGTTCAAATTATCATAATAAATAGAACATCTTTGGTACATACGTTATATCAACTAAATGAGAAAATAATTCCAAGGAATATAGTTAACAGAATAGTTTTAGGAATAATTTGGAAATTAATAAAACTTGGGAAGAATTATGTGTTTAAATACCACCGCTATTTATTGATCACATATTGCGGATAGTAGGCATTTTCTCATTGCCTCATTTAGTTCACAAAATCTTTAACACCCAAAAAATTCCATTTTATAAACTCAGTCTCAGGAAAGCTGATGTTCCCAAGGTTACTGTGACATTTAGCCAAGATAGCAACCTAGGACCCTTGTGTCCAACTTCAGTATTCCTTTGTACCAAAGCTACTGGAGTGCTGTAGGATAAACACTAGACTGATAACTGTAAGATCGTCAGTTTAAACCCACCAGCCGCCCCTTTGGAAACCATATCTATACAGGGTCACTATGAGTTGGAACTGACTGGATACCACTAACAACTGTTTTATTACACTTGGCGAAGTTTTCAGATGAACATAAAACTGGAGAGCTGTTGAGGTTAGGGGTACAATATGGATGAAGGGAAAACATTTCTGAATGAATTGAGGGATGGAGGGGGGGAATGCGCAGAAAAACATATAATAATCTGTTCCATTTACATATCCCAGTATGGGATTAAGAAATACCAAGATGTCCCTTTGTTTTGTTTCTAACTTCTTCCCAGATCCCAGCATGCTCTGGTGTATCCAGCGAAACCCTGGGAAGGCCTCATTTTCTATTATCCATTCTGACTTCTCCACCATCCTATTTCACCCTCACATTCTTTGATAAGGTGTTGCTACTGGTCTGTTTTACTCTAACTGGCTTATTTATGAAAAATTTTTTTATGGATAATTGCCTAGTTCTTTGATCAACTAGAATTAAAGTGTTTATTAAGCTAGGATTAAGTCTAACTCATAATTGTGACCTCTGTGCAAATTCCAGTGCCAGGGACACAGGAGAGCCTAAGTATTTGAGGATGGAACAAGCTACAAGCTCTCAGGTTTAAGACAGGCATCTTTGCCTTAAAGATGTGATTTGAGCAGGGATAAAATTTCTATTTCATCCTAACTAACATGTCCCCCCCCCCCCTTTTTTCCCAAAGAGCATAACTCAAATCCAAGTGGAAAACAGAAAGGGAAGACCTCTTTAATTGCCACAATCCTAAAGTAAAGGCCCCAGGGGAAAAAGAGGGGACGTTGTCACACCTTTCTACTTTCCACCCTATGCCCGGAGAATTCTCGATTACTCCCCGGGCATCGGGCGGTACCAGCTAGGTCTCACTCAGCTCAGCCCCCACAAAGGCGCCCGCCACTCCCGCCGGGGCAGCTTTTTGGGTCGAATGCTGACAAGTTCTCCCGAAGCCATCAGAGATCACCGTAGGTCAAGAGCTGAAGACTGAAGTCTTTAGCTTCCTGGACAGCCGTCAGGGGTGAATGCCCAACCTCAGGTATCCCAATATCCCCCTTTTATCTGCTGACACTTTCAGAGGAGGGGTGGCTGTAGCTTGAAAAGATTTCGTCTATCTCCTCGCGCAGGCCCAGCACCTCAATGCCAGCCCACTAGGTAGACAGAGCCGGACCTGTCCCCCACCCCTTCCGCTCCAGCCCCGCGAAACGAGGCATTGTGTTTCCGCGCCAAGTCCCCGGATGTTCCTTTCCCTCCCCCACGCCCACGCTCGCGTCGCGGCCCCGCCCTCCATGCGGCTCTGCGTTCCACGTCACCGTTTACGGAACTTCCGGAGGCGCAGCGGGCGATGACGTAAGGGGACGTGCCCTCTATATGAGGTTGGGGAGCGGCTGAGTCGGCCTTTTCCGCCCGCTCCCCCCTCCCCCCGAGCGCCGCTCCGGCTGCACCGCGCGAGCTCCGAGCTCCGGGCTCTTGCTAAGCTAGCGCCGCCGCCGTCCGCCAGCCGCCATCATGATCATCTACCGGGACCTCATCAGCCGTGAGTCCTTGCTGCCGCGCTCAGGGGGCCGGGGGCGGGGAAGAGGAAGGGGGCCGGTGCCGCCGCCGCCTGGCCCAGGGTCGCCGGCGGCGATCAAGAGTCGGTGCCTGGGGCACGCGCCGGGGTCTCGAGCGCCCGGGGAGGGGTGGGGGCCGCGTGCGGCAGGCGTAGGAAATGGCGGCCCCGGGCCTTCCAGGCCGTGCCCCCGGTGACTGGCAGGTCTGTGTTCCGAGCAGATGATGAGATGTTCTCCGACATTTACAAGATCCGGGAGATCGCGGACGGGCTGTGCCTGGAAGTGGAGGGGAAGGTGAGTTCCCCCGGCCGGCGCGTGGGGGAGGCAAGGCCGGGCAGGCTCGGGTTTCCGCCGCTCCCCCGCCTGAGGTTGTGCAATCCTCTCCGCCGCCTCCTGGCGGAGGACACGCTCTTTCCGGGCTTCGGTTTTTCTAGAAAAGTGGAGGCGGAGCCCCGCCTGGAACTAGGTCCGCGCCCATCCTCCCGGGAGGGCCGTCCTGGACACGCCGTCGCTACTGGCACATCGCCCCTTGGTGACCAGAGCCCCCCAACTGGAATCTACTAGTTGTCGGAATTCTTAATGAGTTAAAATGGGTCAAGAAGTCAGTTTCCCCCAAATGGAGTTTTTAACGAGAATGAACAAGGTTGGGTGGGAGTGTGATGAATGTGCGTTAGGACTTCAGTATAAAAAGTCAGAGACAGGCTGTGCGACGCGTGCTTTGCCTTACTGCAGATGGTCAGCAGGACAGAGGGTAACATCGACGACTCGCTCATCGGTGGAAACGCTTCCGCTGAAGGCACCGACGGTGAAGGCACCGAAAGCACAGTAGTCACAGGGGTTGACATTGTCATGAACCATCACCTGCAGGAAACCAGCTTCACAAAAGAAGCCTACAAGAAGTACATCAAAGATTACATGAAATCGTAAGTGACATCTCAAGATCCTAATTGAAGATTTAGGATTGGCTAACGTTTGGGGGTTCTCGAGTTCACAAGCAAGATTGGTCAGTCTTCCTTAAACTAAATGTGAACATGCTGTCCACCTTTAGATCTTTAAAATTGAGTACTTTGAAGAGAATTTAAAAATAAATTACTAACCAGTCCTTTGTATGAAGAAGTTTCTTGAATATAACACAATACTTTGCTTATTTAAGGTAGACAGCTAGTTGCTGTTTGCATTGTTGCAGAATTTTTATTTTTGTTTGCAGTTTCTGATTTTTAATGAAAGTCAATGTGGCTTTGCTCAGGATTCAACTACTAATAAAATACTGTTTTAGAATCAAAGGCAAACTTGAAGAACAGAAACCAGAAAGAGTAAAACCCTTTATGACAGGGGCTGCAGAGCAAATCAAGCACATCCTGGCTAATTTCA